CATTTTGTATTATTATAATTTTTTATTTAATATTTTTATATTAAAAATTTGTCATTTGATATTGTTATATTTAAATTCGTTATGCTATATTCATCATTTAGTCTTATTAAATAAATATTTGTTATATTATATTAAAATTTGTATATTATATTTATATTAGTCAACATTTGACAATTTGAAGTTAAATAATGACTCTTGTCACTTTATATTTAATATTTGTTAATGGAAATAATAAGAAAACATTTAATCTCAGCTTTACTTAGCAAAAGTTCAAAAAAAAAACCTAAAAAAATGAAGGTTATTTGCAACTGTAATAAATGCAATAAATTACTTGTTGCTATACGAATAGAGTTTTTGTATAGATATCAAAAAACAAAAACTAAAAACTCAACAGATCAAGAATTTACTATTTGGCAATAAACTAAGAATATTTTGCTAAATCTAATTATAACTTTAAGCAATAATCAACAAAATTTAATACTGAATAATACTAATGCTAAAAATAATAAATTTGAATTCCTAATAAGTTCAATTACTGAATATAAAATCATAGAAACAATTAATTCACTTTTCAATAACAAAACGCCAGATCCTTTATTATTTGCAAGCTTAACAACTGAAGTTGCATAAGTATTGACTTCTAAACTGAAGTCTGTAACTCGAACTCAAGATAAAATAGAAAAAGATATAATTTAAATTATTTTTAAATCATAAAATCTACTTTTACTAATTTGTCAATTTATTTAGAAAATAAAGAGTTATATATGAAGGTGAATGAACTAAAAAACAAATACCAATTTGAAGGCATAATTAGTTATACTGAACCATATAAATAGAATATTTTTTGATAAATTAAATCAGTAAAAGAAGTATATTAAATATTTAAAAATGAAAAATAAACAATCAAAACTACATAAATTAGCATTAGAGCCAATAGTAGTTGTAGAAACTACAAAAGTAACATTTGAATCTCAAAATTAATCTGAACCTGAATACTAATCTGAATAATAATCTGAACTTGAATACTAACCCAAATCTGAATACCAACCCGAACCTGTGCCTGAAGTTAAAACTGAATATATAATTTCAGATTCCAAAAATGTGTCAAATATATTAAAGAATCAAAGAATTAAGTTCAAAGAAAAGAGTAAAGATGTCAAAAAGAGCAAAGTAATAGAAACAGTCAAACCTCCAGAAACTGTTTCTAAAGATAAAAAGGAAAAGGAGACAAGGGCTAAAATAAAGGTTCTGGTGAAAACTATTCTTAAAAAACTTCAACTAAGGATAGATAAAGTTTATTCAAGTAATGTAAATAAAAAAATATTAAGCAAGTTAATATTCAAATTATTAAAATTAATAACATCACATTTTAATTTATCACAAAAGCAGCTGAACGATTAGTTAATACTTTTCATCATCATTAAAGAGAAAGACATCAAAAGGCATAAATAGAAAAACTAGATGCAAACAATCATCACTTACATGCAAATAGCTAATTAAATGAGGTAAAATTAATTGATATTTATATATATTATTTGTATTAATTTTTATCTAATAATAAAGAAAAGGGCATGAAGAATCAAAAGTATACAATTACTTATTAACAAAAGGTCCAAGAGTATTACAAGATATCAGAAGGAATTGATTAATATAGTTAAATAACCAAGAGTTCATTCAGCTGAAAAAAGTAAAACTGATCCAGAAAATGATAATAAGAAAAGAATAAACATATATGACTATAGTAGATATTCTGATGAGGTATTTTTTAATAAATGATTTTATGCTAAATAATTAATTTATTACTAATTATTTTATAGTTGAAAGATTTATTCAAAAAAATTTGAACAAATACTCAAAGTCAATTCAACCATTTCAACCAATTCATAAATGAAACTATAGCAAATTTTATTGTTACAATGTAATCATGCCAAAGAATATATCAAATTGGACTTGTAAATCAGATAATGAAGATTAAGAAATAGAACAAGGTAAAAAAGATAAACAATTGATAAAAAAATATAAAAGATAAAGAATATCTGATTATAAGAAATTACATATATTCAAAAAGAGAAGAGCATCAAATTAAAGAAGATGCACAAATGGACGAAATTCGAAGACAATATTAAAGGAGAAAAGTAAAGAAAAATCATAAAAAGTTCAAGAAACACAAAAACCATAAAAAAGCACTCCAAAGCAAAAGAAACTCAGTATTATAAAATCTTCAAGAGTTACAAGAGCCATGGTAAAATCAGCAAAAAAAAAAGACGAAGATTATGAGCAAAAAAATTAAGATAAAGAAATAGAGGAATTTAGTAAATAATATGTAAATAATTATCAAATAATTAAATAGTAAATAATTAATAAATAACTAGTGAATAATTATTTCAAATTTTATATTTTTTACATTTTTAATAAATTTATCAAGTATTAATTAAATTTTGTCAAATATTATTACAAATGCAATTTTTTTATTAAAAATATATAATTTGATTTTACCAAAGTATTTAATGCTAAATGATTTTGTCAACTTTATAATTAAATAATAAAAATTTATTTTGAAAACTATAATTTTTATTATAGAATGTTGTCAAATATTTTTTAACTAAATATTTTATTATCAAATGATTTTATTGCTAAATAATTTTATTACTGAATTATTTTATTTTTGAAAAATTTTATTGTCAAATAATTTTATTACCAAATAATTATTTTTTTTTGCTGAATTATTGTATATTTTAAGTTCAAATAATATAAATTAAATCAAACAACAAAACTTTGATATAAACTTTTATTAATAAATTTGAATTTAATCAGCTGTAATTCAGCTATCAAATAATCTAATTTGAACTAGTGCTACTCATGACTTGGAAGCAAACCTATATAAAGTAGCTGCAGTACCTTCATGTGATTAGGCATTCAAATTAATTTCTAGTTAGCTAAATGCCATTTAAGGCTATAATATAGGTTTTAAATTTATTTTTACTGTATTTCTTGAGTGATGCCAAAGAGCTTAAGGGTATGGCCCTTTATAGACCTTGCATTTAACTCTTTCTAACAAAGAAAGATGTATATTATGCTAATCATGTTGTAAATCTTGTAACCACAAGTCTAAAATTATAATAATAAAATAAAGCATGGTAGCCATTTGCTCCTTCAAAAAAAAAATAAGAAAATAAATCAATATAATTAATAAACATGTAGCATCAAATAGATTGTAAATTAAAAAAATAATTGAAGATTTCATAAAAAATAATTTTAATTACATAAATATATAATAATAGTAATAGCCAATTTTTTATAATCAAAATCTATAATATTTTTATCGTTTGTAATTAATGTAACTATTTAATCATTATTAGAAAATATCATTAAAATATATTATTTATTTTTAAAAAAGCATTTCTTTACAGCATGTGTTTGAAAAAAAATTTATTTTTTCATAGCAATTATGTACTAAAATTAAAAATTATAATTTGGACAAAAATTAGACTGAAATAATGATATATCAAATGCGATAAACGAGAAAAATTACATTCCGTATTCAAATTCTAATAATGAATATTTAATACTGTGATAAGCTGAAAAATTAATTTCTTAATTAACCGGACTCTTATTTTTTATATATTACAGGGCGATATTTTACGCTAATTAACCAGTCACCATATAATCTAGAATCAGAATATAGAAATTTTTTAAACTATTGTACAGCGGCCCTTCTTTGAGCTGCTCTTTTTTCTGTTTGAGCTTTGAAACCTGTTTATTATATCAAAAAGTGTTAAGTATTCGTAAAAGAAAGTCAGAAAAGAGAATACAATGTAAACACAAAAAATGTACCAGTCTTAATTGCGGAAACCGATCGCATAGATCCACAACTTTCACATTGTTGGAAGAAAATACGATTTTCTTTCGTTAAGATCGTATCAGGAGACTTGCAGGTTTTACATGTAACATATTCAACTAAATAATAATATTAAAGGTAAGTATGTTTTTGTATTGTAAATTGAATAAAACATCAAATAAACTAACCAATGTATCGTCGCAAAACATTTTCAAGCTGTTTTTGTTGGAAACGTCCCTTGATAATAAGTCGTTGCGAACCATCAATTGAACCACTAGTACCTAACTCGGCAAATAAGAACTGAATTACATGTTCAGGTTGCCTATGCATTCTATGATGATAAGATAATGTATTAGTTCAGAGAATTATTAACGCAAACAAAAACGAAAATGATAGGTATTGTTCAATAAAGTGACCTACTTCTTGCAAATATCAATAACATTAGCAAAAATTGTTTTCTTGTTTCCTTCACGATGAACCGATGGAGGAGCAATTGTGTATCGTTTCTTTTCTCCAGCAAGCTCTGGGTTATTTTGCCGAAGAATATGGAAAACCCGACCCAAGAGCTATATTAGACAAGAGATTAAATGTTAATGACCTTATCTATTCATTTTGTCAAACTTGTAGCTAATATGAACTGATAAGCATACTTCTTGATACGTATAATCTCGATCAGAACTAAGCCATGCTTCCTCAAATTTTGTTTCTTTATCCATCTGCTCGCTTTCTGGAACAAATAAGTCATCATCTGCTCGAACATCTTTTTCTGCTTCGTCATTTAACTGTTCTATGAATTCGGTCATGGTTTTCTTTTTCTTTTTCTTAATTTTGGGCAAATCAGTAAAATCAGAAGGTTCAGCAGGTGTTTCCTCTTCAACCTCTTTCTAAATTATTTATTAACGCAGACAGGTGGGTTAAAAGTTGATAACAACAATGATCGGCAGTATATTAAAAATATTACATCAGATGGATCTTTCTTTTTCTTCTTTTTCTTCTTCATGTCAGCGAATATCGCCATTTCATCATCATCGAGCTTTTCATCATCTGCTTTTTCATCATTTGTTTTTTCCTCATTTACTTCATTTTCGTCGGCCGGAGCTACAAGTACGAATTAGACGTCCATATTGTAAATGGAAATCTAACTTTCTTAAAAGAATATTGATCCAAACATCTATTCTGCTAAATATTCACCATTTCTGGCCTGATTATCGCCCTCTTCCTCTTGCTCAATTTCGGTTTCAAAAGCTACTTTGGGTTTCTTTTTCTTTTTCTTTTTGAAGGTGGGATCAAACATGAACTATATAATAAAATAAAAATGGTTATAACATGCCGAAAATAGACATATTAGCCCACGATAAAACCCACTTCTTCAGATTTTTCTTCATTTTCAAGATCTGACATTTTTTCTAAATAAATTAACTGCGAAGCGTAGTATATGAATAAAGATCGACCGATTAAATAGTCTTTTTTTAAAAAAAAACCGGTTTATAGAAGTGTGTAAATCTGATTTTAGATCTAAAAAATTAACTGTATACAGTAGTTTATATAACCTGATTTTTTTTTTTTTTACTTCAAATCAGGCTGCATGCTTATTATGTTTATTAATCCTATGCAGAATTAATTATAGTTTATAACTTGATATTTTACAAAAAATTATATGTTTATAACCAGTTAAAATATATATTAATATTAGTATAATAAATAATTATATAAAACAATTATATTTTATTATATATTTAAAATTTAATAGATATTTTCAAAAAGTTCTTTTGTTTTTTAATAATAAAGTCTCCATTTTTTTAAAAAAAAATCTTTATATATTTTAATAATAAAATAAATAAAATTTTACTTATTTAATTTATGACAAAAATATTTATTGAAAAAAAAAACTTATTAAAAAAATATTCTTTATTATATTTTTTTAAAATATATTTTTAAGCTTTATAAAAATTTTAGATTTATTATAAGTAAACACTATATATATATTTATATTATTATAAAAAAATCTTTTTAAATATATTTTTTATTTATAAATATATAGTATATTTTCTATAAATATATATCTTTTATAAGTACAAAATTTTTTTTATATTTTAAAAAATATATATTTAAAAAGAATTTACTATATATATTATTTGATAATTTTACTATATTATAATTTTTGAAAAATATTTAAATTCAATTATATAATATATAATAAAAAAAATAAATAGATAAACTAATAGAATTTATATATTTAATTATATAATTTTTTTAATTAATTATATATATTTATAATAAAATTTTTATATATATTAATAAAATTTTTGATTTTTTTAAAAAAATTTTCTATTTTTATTTAAATCTGAAATTTTTATTATATTGAAAATTTTGATTAATAATTAATTAAAATTTTAAATTAGTTAATTAATATATAATAAAAATATAAATAAAAAATATATACATATGTATACATATATTAAAGATTAATATACTATATAATATATAAATAATTTTTATTAATTATTATTGTTATTATTTTTTTTTTAAAGTTAAACGACATTAAATTCAAATCTTTATTGATATTCAATATTACATTACATCAAACATCTTTTGTAATACATTAATTACAACTAAATGTTAGCCTATTAACTTTCATCTAATATCCAGAAACCTGTCACTTAATGACTTTTCTTTGTGATATCAGAGAACTATAGGGAATAGAAATCCTACCACTAGTTTTTAAACTACCTAACCTATAGGGCTTATGTACTTATGAGAGGTTTATACTGTTAATTATCTTATATAGATTACCCTTCACATCATACCTTTCTCAATCCATCACATGAGCAGATGGAAACCTTCGACGCAAGTACATACTCCCTAGTAAATGCTTCAGTTTTGACCATTGGTTGGACACTACCAAATCTAGGGATCATTTTGACCAAGTGGAGCGTGACTTCTTAAGGATTTACGTAAATATGGATTTGCAAGACACCACCTACAAATCGATTCTTAACCTCTTAGTAGACACTCCAAATTCAGACCGATTGGCGTAAGCTACCAAATCTAGAGATCATTTGACCAAGCAGAGTGCAACTCCTATGTACTCTGTCTCACTGCATGACTAGCCATATTATCTTATGATGGCATTGGATTAATAGTCTCTTCAAGACTTTCTACTTTCAGTAATTAACAGTGGGAAAGGCTTAACTGAGTTAGTTAAGATGGAGCATAACCCAGTCTATACTTCCAAATATATGGTTAGTTCTTGGCAACTTGTCTGATGACCATCGTACTACTTTCAGATGATTATTGCGCCACACACCTTTTCTTGAAGATCACAATCTTATCGTTTTACTGGATTAGTATACGAATGACTTTTTATAGGAAACAGGGCTCTTACAGGTTATAGTCCCAGATATCATTTTTAATTTGGTTTAATCACCTTCACCTGGAATTGAACTGGTATCTTGTGATCTGACCTGTGGAGTGTTAACCACTATACTATAAACCCACAGGTCTAATTTTTATTGATTATTATTAAAGATTACATTTATTATTATATAAATAATCTAATTTAACTAATATTATATATTTTATTATATTTAAAAATTATAATAATTTGATTTAATTTAATTTTAATTTTTAAATTTATACAATGAACTTTCTTTAAATATATACATCTTGGGACCATAGAAAAATTTTTGGAAAATGTGTATTTATAGAGAATATGTATTTATGAAAGTAATTTTATTAAGAGTTCTATATACTTGGGACCAAGTTTGACCATGTATTTAGAGAGAGAAAATATAATAAGTACATTTATAAAAGATGTATTTAGGGTGATCTCTTTGTTTAATTTTAATATATGAATTATATTTTATCATAATAATTATAAAAGTTTTAAATCTTATGCAAGTTTATATAAATTTATACAAAATTAATTTTCAAAATTATAATTATATCTAATTATATCAATTTATATTTAAAAAATAAATTTATATATAAAGTAAAAAATTTTTAAAATAAAAATTTTATTATTAGTTTTAAACTATTTAATTTTAAATTTTAAATTTTAAAAAGTTTTAATAATAAGATTCATAAATCCATAATATAATATTAATACTTTATAGGTTACAAGAAAAAGATTTAAGATTCAAATTTATCTGATTATAAAAATTTATTATCTTTATAATTGGTTAACTACTTTCAATTAATGTTGTATCTAATTAGTTAAAAAAACAAAAAATTAACTTTCAAATTTAATTAAGCTACAAGAAAATATAATCTTTGGTCTTTTTAACAATCATAAACTGAAAACAGATCGAAGCATAAAAGATTATATAAAAAAGAATTTCTAAATTAACTTTAGTAATAATTTACAAATTCTAATCCAATACAGGTAACAATAAATTTTATTTTACAATTTAAAGAAATTAATTCTAAATTAATTTATTTTAATCTGAAGCTTATAAATCTATTCCAATTATAGTATTTTACAAAACTTAATAATATAATTAAAGAACAAGATATTAATTACAAATAATAAGAATATCTTTTTTTGAAATTATTAAAAAATTTTTATTTTAATTTAGTAATAGATTAATTTAACAATTACAATAACACTTGTCTATTAACATATTTTATATAAAAAATATACAAATATATATTTTTTGCTCAGTGCCAACTTATAAAACTTTATAAAAATCTGATATATATATGTATAACCTGTTTAAATACATATTTTTATAAAAATTTTACTATGGTTTCAACTTTATGCAAATAGACAGGTGCTACTGTACTTATTTTGAAAAGATAATTAAAATAGTAATAATTATTAATAACTGAAATAATCTATAAATAGTAAATCTATAATATATAAAAAAACTTTTTCCTATATATAACTTTTTTTTTTAAAAAATTTTCTTTTATAATATCTTTTCTTAAAATTAAAGAAACAAATATTTTTTTTGCCTTTCAATATTCAAAAGTCTTATACATTTCTTTTATCTTCATTACAAGAACTTTAAAAAAACTAAAAAAGCACATTGGTACATTGGAATGAAATCTCTGATCAAGAGAAAACAAGTGTGAGACCCTTACTCTCTTCTTGAATTGCATGAAAAAAGACCTATGACAGTTGTTTCTTTATAAATTTTTCTTGAAGATTTTTTATTTTTTATTAAATAAACAAATTTTCTTTTTAATAACCTATGAATCTATAGTGTAATAGTTAACACTTCACAGGTCATATCATAAAATATCAGTTTAATCCTATATGAGAGTGATTAAATAAAATTAATATGGTATCTGGTGTCATAACTAAAGATGGGTTTCTAAATTAAAGGCAAGAACATAATTCAAATGTCTCTTACTATTAAAAAAGTTTTTTTTTTAAATATAAGGTCAAAAAAAAACTACTTACAAAGATTTTTTGCAATTTAGGACACTTGATCCAAGTGTTTTTTGAATTATGTTCTTATTAAAATAATTAATCTGTGAAATTTTATATGCTAAATAGTTTAGGGACCCATCCTTAGTCATAACCTGTATAAGTACTGTTTCTTATAAGATGCTGTTTTATATGCTGATCCAATAGACATTGAAATTGAGATTTTCAAAAAAGATGTTGTGATGTGATGATTATCTGGTTGGTGTTATAATAATTGCCAGAAGTTATAAGATATATAAGATATTTATTTTGAGTAGAATAATTTGATATTTGTCTTTCCATAATACCTGATGTTTTTTCCTACAAATTTCCAGAAAGGTCTTATTCCAATTCAGTAATAGATCACTCCAACAGTTACTTATTCCAAGAAGGTAGCCAAAACAGTAATAAGTATCAATAGCTGAAACAATCTATAGGCAGTAAGTTTGAAAGATAAGTTCTTTGAATATTCTTGAGTAGCTTTAAAAATGTGAAAATTAAATAGTACACCTATCTATATGTGGTCAGATTTAGAAGTTTTCTGCAGGGATTCTATTTACCTAATAGGTACTACTTCTAGTTTTTTTCTTCATATTTTTCTTTAATACATTCCCAGTTAGAAATAAAATCTTTCATACAATAATGACACTAATGAAGCTTTAGCACATTAGCCTTAACATATGTAGATCTTCAAATTTATAGTTAATAGCAACAAGCTGACATGGAAGTAAAATCTAATATAGTCTAGTAATATCTAGAGTAATTTATAAATAGCTTCCTCCTATAATATATGATATAAAGTATATATGAATTAAATAAAAAAAAATACATAAATAAGATCCAGTTAGTCAAGTTTTAAAAAATAAATAAATAAATTTTCTTTTTGGTAAGCTGTTTTTCCATTCCAAAAATCAAACTTTACATCAATATTGCTTATACTATTGGTTTGAGGCACCAGCAATATATTCAATACTTATTTCTTAATATC